CATCATCATAAAGGAAGGGTTGCTTATTTAGCCATTTGCCCTGCTAGCAGCCTCTTCTAGTGAATATTCCGCTATGCTATGTAAGCAGGTGTGAGGGAAACCAGTTCTGCCAGTGAAACCAAGTTTACAGCTTATGCTCCAGAAGCATAAATACACTTTCATACTCATTCATTTACTTTGTAGGGTGCAAAAAAGAAGGGCAGTAATGAAGAGGGATGGGCCTGCTCTGACAGCCTTGGTATCTCACACATGTGGGGCTAAGGGCAGCTTCAGTCTTCCTTAGTCAATCAAAAATACTCTGTGTTTTACTCTAAAGTATTTGTCTAAGATGTTTTCTACTAATTTTGATATCCTTCCTTTTATGTCAAGTAAAAGAAATATTTTGGCTAGTAAGCCTCACTCACTATGATTACATAACTTAAGTTACCAAAAGCTCTTCCTGTGATGGTGTTAAATTAATGAACAATGGAACAAAGTCACCAATTCTCTTTCCCACTAATCCTTCCCTCCTCCAAATGTGATTCACATAAAGACAGTAAAAGCATATAGGTTATACATCACAATGAAGGGATTATGAAAAAAAAATACATATTATTGCACAAAAAAAAACCCAACAGCCCTCTATATTACTTCTCTCCTGGACAAAAAACAAGCATCACTCAGCAAAGCAACCTCATTGGAAGGTTACTTATCAACAGGATCCTTGAAAAGTATGGAGAGTGGAGGTATATGAACATACCAACACAAGCAACAGCTTAGGCTTCCTTTTCCTTTTACCATTCAAATGGAAAAGTTATCATTAAACCAGGTGTTTTAAACTAGGCTATTGCAACCCAAAGTTTATAAATAAATGAATAGCTAACCCCTCTAAAAGGACAACAATAGTTAGCAGATGGATTTAACTGTTTCAACAACAATGTAAAACCTGTTTCAAAAGGTGATTTATACTCTGCTTGCACAAGCCATTGCTGCAAATAATTGATTTTTCACAGGCAAACACCTCCACTAATACATACTTGTGTTACCCTGGCAATTGATCTTGGAAAGCTTGACCCTCAGTGTTACTCATCTGCATGAAGCACTGAGTAAAAAGCAGCATTTTCTATTATCTAGTTTGACATGGCTATACCATTTTCATTTGCTAGATTGCCAAATGCCTCTTCTTATGCATTCTCTCTTGTGCAGAAAATTTTATTGTTTCATCAGACAGACAAGAATGTGAATTAATCAAAGAATCTGTAAAGCTGTTCATAGACAATATGAATAAATACAGGCCACTTCTCAGGTAGGTTGGAATACTTAACTAGCATGTTTTCATCACATATCATGGTTAAAATTAGCAGGATGGAGTTCACCCCAGATGCAAGACACTTCACTAACATCATGGGTTAACTTTACTTCTTCTACCTTACATGCTTAAAGTTGCAGATTTGAACAGTCTAAGCAACAGCTTGGCATGCCAGGGTTGTTTAATATTTCTAATATTAACTGCAATACACTAAGACTGACTTCCTAAATGTTAGAGTAGTCATGTAGATTCTTAAAATAGGTTGAAGCCCACATTTATTGAATGTGATGATGAAATGACTAAAACATCTACAAGGATTGAAGACTATGGAACAACTTCCAAAATTTGAGGACGTATTGTAAACAGCATGGAAAATAGAACCAGAATATCCTGAATAGCATCACTGCTTCTATTTCTACTTTTCACTTCAGGTGTTAGTATTGGCCAGTGTGAAGGCCAAACCTTTAAATTTACTTTTGTACAATGGACCTTCTCAAATGAATTTGAGGAGGGGGGGTGTCTGTGGGTTATTCCTGTGTTTGTTTTTTCTAAGCATCAATACAGTTGTACAAGACAGAATGAACCATATTAACACTGAATCTGCACCCCCATAGCTCCCACTAATTTCTTGTTCTGAAGCATCTTGATTCCTAAAAAGTTACAAACATCTAAAACAGAGCTACAGACAAACAGTTATCGTTAAAGGCTATATCATCATTCCCACTGGGAATTTAAATCCTAGTCTTGTTAAGCAATACTGGTAAATGGATAAACATGTCTATAGGTTTACAAAATGCATCCCTGTCACCTCTGAAGGGTAAAGGGCAATTACAGGTGCTTCCTCTTCACCCTTCAGAAACAGTAGGTCCAAGCCAGTTGCATCTGAATTAGGAATTTTAATGTCCTAGCCTTGGGACAAAAATTAAAAAGGAAAAACATATTGACACATCAAGATTTACTCAGCATTGATAAGACTGGATATCTTTGCGAAGTTTGCTCTAGCACATAATGAAAAAAAAAACCAAACATAAATCACACCTACCAATAGTTAATTAGGGATAATCTAGGTGATCAACAAGAATAATTGAACACCATAGTTTCCATTTATCTATCTCAGAGGCACAGATATATTCTTCATCAAACACACAAAAATGTTAATTTCCAGTGTAGACATTTGACTTGATTAACATAAATAAAAAGGGAAAATATGTACAGTAAGTCAGCCTTTTGCTATCATTTTCCTTTTTAAAACTCTACCTGTTCCATTTACTTCAATATTACATATTTACACTGGTGGGAGACCACTGATTGCTCATAAGGTAGAAATAGCCATCTACTAAATTAATGTAATGGACTGATGTGGCCAAAAAAATGTTCTACCAAAAAGCCTGATGCATTTCTAAATGAAAGACCTCAGGTTACACAGAAGGTATCTCCCTTGGTGCCATTATTTGCACTAAAATCCAGTCTAGAGTATTTGCTTCAATTGATATATTCCTGTACTTTGGTTAGCAACCATATCTAAAAGGCAGGAAGGAACAGGACTTTAGCCTTCTCAACTACACACCCACAATGTATCTTGTTATTATCAGGAAGTCAGAAATAGAACTCTATTTCCAATGTCATGATACAAAGACAAAATCAGACAAGTAAACAAAACCCACAAAAAAAAAAAATGTCATACGCACTTTTTGAAGGTCCAGAATGACGTCTTGTCATGTTCCAGAAGGAGTCCACACGACTTACCTTTCCAGATCACTTTGAAACTAACATCCTTCTGCCCGAATTTGTAAATTACCAGCCAAGCCTAATAACTGGAAGCTGGCTCCTACACTGCCCACAACACCCCCACTCATTTCAAGCTCCCTTCTCTGCATTATTTCCAGCTGCCAGCTGAGCAGCAAGAAATCCGCAATTACAGACATAGGAACCTAACTCTTCCTGGTGCTTTTGGGCCAGTTCTAAGCCATTAGCAACATCTCAACAAGGGCACTGTTCAGGAGTTGTGAAGCCAAACACATTAGAAAGAAACCCCACAGTATCAATAACATAAGAGATTTCCTGGATATGTATTTAAATGCAACCCAAGAGAATTCAAATTAGTGTTTCTTTCACACGTTTGTGTGCTACGCTTGGCAAGTCTAAACTGATTGACTGAACAAGTAGCTTGAGAGTGGGAAAGTGGGTGTCCAATTGATAAAAGCAAACCAAAATAAAAATGTAAAAAATTGGCACCAAATCTTGTGACTCCAATATGAAATGCTTCTTCTGGACCCAAAGGAAACATTCTGAATTCCAGAGCAACCCAAAACCAGATATAGCATTACAATCTATAAATCTGTGTCAGTAGTACCTTGTTTATACAGCCCCTGTCAAAGTATGAAAGCTGATAGGCCTTTCCAGCATCTGTTTGAGAGAAACACGCTGGAAGAAATGGGAGACCAACACAGACAACACCACATATTATGAATGACTCAGAAAAGCAGGCATTTGGCCTTCAGCAGAAACGGATTGTCGACATATGCTACACAGCTTGTCATATGCGCCATCAATTCAGTCATGTCTCAGACTTTTAGGGGAAGGGTTGCAGATATGACAGTGCTGTGGTATCAATATTGCACAGACCTTGCTGGTACCGCTAATTAAGTCAACCACAAATACCTTAATGAAAAGTAGTTTTTTTCTGTGTTTAACATTTATACAGTCAGTGAACCAAATTATTGAAGCCTACTGTTATGCTTACTACATCACTCATAATGTATTCCTTTGTTCCCTGCCTTGGAACAAGTGAAGGAGGTCACCTCAAATAAGAGAAGCAAGCAGACAGTAGAGCTGAAGTGATCTGTTCCCTCCAGGCAGGAGCAAAGGCCAAATCATGATGAGCAGAGGGAATGTCAGAAAGCTGATTATCTGCCCCCTCAAGGCAGACTTAAGGAGTTTGTTCAATTATTTCATCAGAGATCCTAGTAGTAATTGGCCAAGAACATCCAGTGTTTTGAGATTAAGCAAATCAATACCCCAAGAAGCACAATGGTTCTGCGGTGTATTTAACTGATCACTGGCTTTAAGTGAACCTTCTCAGAAACATTACTCAGCATTTCAGCACACAGCTAGTATTTCAGTAGAAGATTAGAACACTGTTATCTAGAACATTACTCATTTTATATGCATTCCATGACTTTTCAAACAAAGATTTGAGTGAAAATCTCAAAGCATAATTCAGTACACAAAACCTAGTCATTTTTTATCTATGAAAATATTACATACAATATCTGCAAAGTCATTCCTGGTTTCTCTAAACCAGGAATTCCATTAACATCAATTACCACCATTGGACGGGTGGTAATTGAAGAGGGGGAAAGAAAAAAAAGAAAAAAAAAAAAAACAAAACAAATACATGCTTGAACTGAATATTTTCATTTTAAGGAGTTAAGAAAAAAAACTTGGTTTAGGCTTTAAATAAATTTCCAAGAAAAAAAGTTTGGATTTGACACCGTGAAAGTTGTATTGTAATTAAAAAACCAACAAATCATCTGTTTTCTGTGCTCTCTTATATCAGAACTCACAGGTCACCAATGCACTGAAAAGTCTACTTACGATCATTACACTGGCTCCCAGAATATGAAGTCATGGAGCAATCACAGGTGAAGCCTTCCCACTGCTGATTACAGATACCCTGATTTGCACAGGAATCTTCTTGGCAGGTAGTGCTCGGCCCTGAAGAAAGGATGACAAGAAAAGAGTGTAATAAAGCTGAGAGAATCATATGGGTCAGGCCCACAATATCTTCAATTAATCACTACCATTATCATCAGGATCCTCATGCAGAAGAAAGCACTAACAAAACACTGTTCCATTCCTGGACGTGCAAGAAACTCAGGTAAAAAGAGCACAAAGACAGTGTACACCTCACAACAAAACAGCAAACTGTAACACAGAGCAAGGAAGAGGGAACAGCAACATATTCCCTCTTAGGCAGGCCCAACTCATATGTTCCAAACTTGCTCAAAAAATTTTACAATAAAATAGGGAGTCATGCCAGGCAAACAAACATTGCCAAGTTGTGCTTCCCTAGAAGTTTGATCCCCTAGTAGAAATTAAAGCTAATTTTTAGGCCAATGAACAATGCCTCATCATACTCAAAGAACACTGATAATGTAGATTCAAACTGAAGTTTTGAAGCTTCAGCTGACTACAATTTTGCTTTATAGGTTAATAAAAGTCAGCCAAAGAAAAACCAAACACTCTGACCTATCACATAGGTTCCTCTGGAAACATGCTGACAAAGTCCTCAGAAGGGCATGATATTTATCCACAACACTCTATTTTTGGACTGCTTTCCGTGCTTTTGGTAGAAGCAGAGAAGGAAGCAGCCACCACTAACAGAACAGCCTTTCATTGTTCTGTGATTTGCAGCTAACAGTTGCTATCCTGCTCAGGTAAGCCTTGCAAAGACAAAATCCAAGGAATAGGCTGGATTTGGAATCAAGCGAGAGCAGGCATGAAGCTGCATGTCATAGATTGCAAGAACATGAGTTTGCAAGTTACTTCCTGGGCAAGTATTTTATATTAAGCATTCTAGACAAAGGTATGTCACTCCTGTTGTGCAGGATTTAAAATAAAATGTACATATACTTTGGACATACCTACTATGCTATATCCTGTATGGGTTGGAAAAGAAGAATTGAAAGAAATAAAGCAGATAATAAAGGATCAACTGGCTAGGCTGCCTGAGATCAGTTCATTAACCACTTCTGGTCTAGGAGAACACCACAAGGACAAAGAAACAATTGTTCAATCCATCCCAGCATCTTTCTTTACAGTCTCTGCTAGCAACAGCAACTCCACAAGACTCAATCCTTTCCTTATTTCTTCATCACATCAACACTAACATCTGTATTTTATAGATTAGATAGAACAGACCAAAGCAGAGACAGCATTTTAAAATATTTTAACATAAAATTAAACCCTCCAACCTCCATCAGACACCATCCATAGTGATTTCACTAAATCCCATCATTATTCAGCACCTTTGATACTGAGATTGCACATCTAGGCACTTCTGTATTTACAAGGCCTTGTAGAACCCACATCTAACTGGAAGTCCCATGTCACACCATGATCCTCCCAACAATTCAAAGACTAAGCCAGAAATAAACCCTTAAAGCTTTGGTGCAGAGTTTCTGCTCTCCCCACCAGATCACCTTTCCTCACTGAAAGAACAGAATGGATGAATTTCAGTAGCTTTTCTGCTATCTGCATTTCTTTACATGTCTCCTGCAATGAGAATGAACATGCGACTCAGTAAGCAGAGTTTGACTGAATGTTAACAAAAACCTGAGCTTCTTCCAGAATTTATTACACTGTTTTAAAAAACCAAACGAACAAACAAACCCCAAAACCTCTAGGTAGAAGCCTAAGTGTGGTTAATAGAAGACAACAAAATCCCTGAAGGAAAATTCACCTATTGAAAAGAAGTGACAGCAGCAGCCACAGCAAGAAAACCCCTTGTTGCCATGCTGAAGGAAAGTTGAGCAGCATTTTTCAACACTTTTCTCCTCCCCTCCTCCTCTTCTTCCCACCCACCTGACTCTCATTTGCAGCCATATGAATCCCAGTGGTCTCAGTGGCACAGTGTGAAATTAACAAATCACTTCTAGATTAGAACAGAGCTGACAGACTTTCCAGCGTGGGCTGGCAGGCACATGTATGTACAGGCCTCCCTCCTGCCTTTACTTTTGTAAAAATCATGGATATAAATATACACACATGCGTATCAGGTTATGGCCTGATACTTGCTTCAGACTTAACTCTGGCTGAGCAAATGAAGGGCTAACATTTAACAATGTGAAACAGAATATTAGTTGTCATTTTGCCTAAAATGTCTAATTATCTGAGGATAAGGAATGAGGATCAGATACCTCTCCTGCCCATTACTATCCCACTATCTAACCTCTAACCTCAATCATGAATGCCAATACTGCTAGAGGTATAAATAAGCAAGATAGCTATACCTATATTTTAAAAATTAAACCAGAAAGCAACTGTGACTCTATGCAAACTTGCTACAGCATCAACTATATAGACCATTACATAGCAGCAGAGCAGAATACCATTTTCAACAACGATTCTCCACTTTTCCTACATTTTTCTGAGAATGCTTTAATCACTAACTGGCCTTGAAAACAGGCATATCCTTTGTCTAGGTGCCACAAGAGAAAGGACTCTATTCAAGGAATAAGACTGCATGAGGCCCAGCACCTGTGGCTTGAAGTCTTCATATAATAGAGCCCAGAGAGCCAAAGTACTTGAATTCATGGCCTGTATTATGGTGTCTGAATTGTATTTAACAGAAATCAACTGTGAAGATGAGAACGGCACTTTCAGCAGAGGGGGAAAAGAAAAGGAAAAAGAAAAAACACAACAATGAGGAATTTTGAAAGCCTGACAATACCACAAGGAAGCTTGAAGCCTGATCTGCCATCTTTAGAGTCAGTCGTGACAGCACAGCATAGATGCTGGGTACTTGGCCTCACTTCTTAGTACTATGGGCCACTTGAATCACAAAAGGAATGTTGTCTCACAGAGTTCATCTACTCCTGCTGCTAACAGTCATTGCCTGATGTCATAATCCTCTGTAGCAACAGAATTTTCTTCAGAGCAACTAATAAGGATGTCACAGGGAATTAGGATTTTGGATTAGGGAGCAAAGTGACAGAAGCACAGGAAGGATTATAAAACATGAAGATTGTGCTGCCACGCACATGCCCTTTAGTGCTAACGAACAAGAAAAGATGACAAACAACTTATATATAAAGCAGTAGAATTGTTTCTAAATTACCAGTGCCATCAGGACTCAGGTCTATTTTTAATCTCATTCCTCTGGCAACACTAAGAGCAGACAAAGTATTTAAAAGCAAAGTTTCAGAACTAGTCTTCACATAATAATCTGAGATACCTCTGATTTATCTGTTTGTAGCTGAGCTTGGTACAGTGCCTTCTTCGTGCCACACACACAGTGGAAAGAGGAGTAAGTGGGCAGTAGATATCAAGTAGAAGTGGAGAAATCCCCAGTGCAGAAAAGCAACCCTGCTTGCAGAAGCATGACTTGCTGTGCCTCTTCCTATCCAGGTTAAGCCTACCAACAGAGGCATCTCCTTTGGAACATGAAATAGAAAACCAGGATTCTTCAACAATATCCTTTTTATTTTTATATCTACATCTCTAATTTTTACTGGAACAGTTCAGTATCCAAGGACTTGCAGGATCTGAGATTTGATGGGTTATCCCCCCTGGGAAGGAGACTAGTACTACACTTTTCTTTAGTTACCTATCCAGATGTATTGTTTTTTTATTAATTTTTCTACTAAGTATTTGAAGAAAATCACCTTTGAAGAGTATAATAGCCTAATCTTGTATCTGTATTCTGCTTAGACAAATTGCTTTTTCTACCATCTTTCCTGCAATATCAGTTGTATGGTATGTTTCTCTTTGCCCTGAAATTAAAAAAAAAAAAACAACCCAACTCTACTGCTGCATGTTGCTAAAACTTTCATGTTTCACTGGCAAGAAAAGTCGTTCCTTCTGTATCTTTTGAAAGCTCTTTGCAGGAAAAGGAACTTGAGAAATAAAAGACAGCATTGTGTTTATTGTTCTTTCAAGTAACACATGGAATCAGTTTATACAGCAGTTGCAGGATTATAACACAACTGCTTCATGCTCTGATCACAACTAGCAATAAATATTAAGATAAGCAAACCATTATTGGTCTTGCACATAACACCTTCCTCCACACATGAAAAATTCACTCTTTTTGAAAGGAATCAACATTTGTGTTAATGCTATCGCCTCAACAAGATGAAGATCAGCAACAAGGGAAGTTCAATAACAATATGGTTCCATTTTCATTCTTCATATCCCTAAATGCTTTCATCTCTTCCCCTTCTATCTTCAGAAATGTTACGAAGCAGTAGGAAAGTAATATACACGACATCTTTACAGCCTTTGCAGACTAAGGTGCTTTTTTAGTCCCATAGTTCCTAAATTACAAATGTCATGCAGCACTGAAATATCTCTACCACTACTGTAAAGTCAGATATTACAATCAATTTACACCTTTGATAAATCTACACACTACTTCTGTCAGCATTCCTCTTTCATAACCAGAGAGCATCAGCCTTTTTTAATTCAATCTGCAGTAGCAGTTCAGCTCAGAAAGGCATCAGGTCTTGGAAACCAAATGCACTAGGCAGGAAATAAACCCATTCCAAGGACTCACTCTTCCTTGCAGGTTAAGTACGAAACAAAGTTATACCAAATAGTTTTCCAATGTTAGAATAATTTGGAAAGCAAGATTTTTCCTGTTTAAAAAGTGAACAAAATTAAGGCTGAATCTCATGGAACCATCTCTTTCTGGGACGAACCATACCACATATACTGGTACTGCCAAATATGTATTGGTGTGGCAGCATTTACTTTGCACAAATGCAAGAAACTAAATTATAGTCAGGGTTTAGTGCATGATTCAGAAAGTTAGATCCTGTATTTTGAGTCACAGATAGCAGAAAGCAGGAATATCACAGACTAATATAGCAAACCAGAACCAAAAACCAAACAGATTTTCAACGATTGCAAGGCCAGCTCTTCAAGCTCTCAGTTTCATACTTTGTTAAGAACTCATCATCCCTTTCATCACCTAAATAAGGTTAGACATCTGTCAGGTTCCATATTTAAAGTTACTCATTGTCAGAAATAACTCAAAAGTCAGCATTCTTCTGTCCTCTGAAAAACGTAGCCATTTTTTTCATTGCCGCAACAGAGCCTGAATACTTCATCCACCTGATACAAGTCATGGTGCTGAGTCCATTTGTTCCAATAAGTGGCTGGTCTAAAAACTTCAGGAACTGGGACTAGTTAAAATAACAAATATGCACAAATGTGCTTTCTCCCACAGAAAGCACATCTATCTCAAGGTTACACAAGAAGGGAATCTAGAAGCAATGGCAATTCATAGAAATAGATCTGCCAAGTGCTGGGATTTCCTTCCCTTCAAAGAAAGCTGGCATATACCTATCACCCCTCTCCCTTGCCACTCTTCTACTTTCCATTTCTAGGTAACCTAAAAGGTTATGAGAAATGTCTTTATACACATACTGGTGAGGAAAGACTGAAAAAGGGCCAAAAGAATAAAAATCCCAACCAGAGAACAATAAATCAACTGCATAAAAGGGAGTATGCCTGCACACAGAATGCAACAAGGGACAGGGAGACACAAATGAAGCAGAGGAACTAAACAGCATTTGGGCATTCAGACACAGAAGCTAAAAGCATAAATGAAAATTAAAAGGGCTGTACATGAACAAGAAAAAAACAGAGTACATTGGAAAAATATCCTTCCTCACTGCAAGTCACAGCAATATAAAAGAATCACAGAATAGTCTGATTTGGAAGGGACCCACAAGGATCATCAAGTCCAGCCCTTAAGTATGAGGCATCATGGCCTATCCTGAAATAGCCAAACCTATTTAGCAATGGTTGGTTTCCTGGAAAGCCAATACTCCACTTTATGCACTCAAGCCACACTTCCCCTCAGGCTTCAATGTAATCAAATTTCTCTATCTGAAGGGCAAATATTCCTACAGGGTTAAGACCTCAGTAAAAAATTGAGCATGAGATGGAATAATCTTCACAGGTGTACTACTCCTTTGCCTCTGAGGGTTCTGGAAAAATCAAAACAACAGATCTCTTTGCCCCAGAACTCCTGTGCATGATGCATCCACTTCAATAAACATCAAAAATCAAGCCCAGGAATTCCTGTGCATGCATTCTGAATTCTGATGGACATATAACTGACTACAGAGAACAACAGTGGCTGTGGCAAGAAAGAGACAGTACTTTCTGATGTCTAATCTAAGTCCCAAAATCATTGCCACAATTTGAGTGGATGGCACAAAACATCTTAATCCTAAAGTTATTTATACTCCAGTGTAATTCCGGGACACTTTTTTCTTATCACTTTCTTTTCTCATCAGTCTCAGTCCACGTATATTTCCTATTTTTTCAAATATCACCTTTTATTCCTTTCATTTACATAAACTTCAGAAATCCCCTAAGGGCAGCACTTCTCTATATCACTCACCTGTGTAAGACAGAGTATTTCAAATTTTACAGTAGGGAACAGGTCAGAGATGCCAACAAAACGTAGTTGCAGTCAGATGCTCCACATGCATAAAGCAAAATACATCACATCAATTTCTCTCTACCTTTAGGCTGTCAAATATTTCAGATTCAATGTCTCATATGGATCAAATTGCTAAAATTATCTCAGACTGTCAGTATCATTACCTGTTGGGTGAGAGAGTATCTCTTAATATGCTCCTGTCAACAACTGCTACAGTGAAAAGCTATTAAAATATCCTTATTCGTCCAAATTTATTTTTATCCTTTTCTACTGAGCCACAGAACACCAAACTCTACCTAAAAACACAGATGATATCCTGAAGGAAAGGCAATGGCTACCTGCCTATACCTGGAATACAGAAGAAGAATATTTTGATTTGAAAGTGGTATGTATTACATTAGATGAGGTCAGCAATATCACCAGGTTTTCACAGTAAACACAGTGAACAGAAAAGGAGTTTAGGAATCATGTGATTAAAGCTACAAAACCTTACTTCCAGAGATATGTAAAATGTCAGGAAGTCTCTATCTCAGAGGGTGAAACAGGAACATTCTCTATTTTGTCTCACAACAGAACTTTAGGCATTAAGTGGCTTAGACATAAAATTTCAAGATGACTAAGATGATCCCATAACAGATGCCATCAGGACTGCTAAACAGAGACATGTTGTTCAATGCCTCTGACTTCCCCTTCTACCTGAAACCATTATCTCCTTTTCCATTAAAAAGGAGAAGCAATTTTTTAACTTTTGCAGCATTCCAGAATAAATTAATTTGTACTCTATATTGTAGTCTTTACAGATGAATTGGGAAGTACATTTTAATTATCATATTTAAAAATATTCACTTTCAATGCCATGGAAGACATCTTTCTGTTTATACTAGTATCAAAGACCTATTAATCTCTAATAAGCATATTTCCTTACTTATGTCCCAGAAAAAAAGTCTACAAGGTCTCTGAGAATACCTGGTTTCCTTCTTTTTCTCACAAATGCTACTCAACCTAGTGCCTTTCTCAAATAACTCCTTGACCTGGTGGCACAGCTCCTTGACAAGGACACACCTGCAGGGGGGATGACTCAGCCCCAGTTTCCTGGACAGGCACCAGGCACTCCGTACCAGCAGGGCCCTGCAGACCTGCCAGAAGGTCTCTTTGGGAGGAAGCCTGTGACACCACTGGTGTGGCAACAGCTGCTGGGGAAGGAGCTTTGTGGTGCAGAATCAGTGCACGGTTGGCAGCACTGACTGCTGAGACAGGGGACAAGAGACCTCCTCGTACTCCTCGGGGTCCACAGCTGCTCCCGTGTGCTGCTCTCTGGTTCTGCTACTGTGCTGACCCTCCAAAAAGGAACCCTTCCCACCCAGATTATGGCTTGTCAAAAGCTATTCTAAATATTAAGGGAGTTTGTTGTTTAGAGATTTTTGTGGGTTTTTTTGTTTTATTTTAAAATTGAAATTCCAGAAAGTTATTTCAGTGGTTTTTTTTAATAAAATCTACATTAAAAAAAACCCAACACACTGTTTATACTTCCTGATCTCCTTCCTTAAGATCAGTACTAAAGAAACCAAGTCAACTTTCTGTTTTTTAAACCTCTGAGGGCCTTCTATGTCTTGATGCACAGCAGTTATCTGCCTGATCATTAGGCTTTCCAGGAAATCAACTGGTGCTTTTATGGCTATTCAGAGATTGATCCAGTCAAATCGCCCAGGTCAATAGAAGCAGCTCCATTGTTTGCCATGTTCTTCTTCAACCCAGAATCCCCCACCAGAGATGCTGGGGTTTGCCATTCTGTTCCTGTCTTAGAGGTGTGACTACACCCAAAAAGCACTAAATGTTACATAAAAACATTTTCCATTGAAACAAGTAATGGAGAAGAACAACCTTCACTACCTTGCAGGTCAGCTTTGGTCAACTCAACTTTGTTAGCAAAAAAAAAAAAAAAAAAAAAAAAAAGTAAAGACAATAAACAACAAGTTAGTATAAAAGCAGATAAACCTGGGTAACATATCACTTTGAATAAATAAAAGCAACTGGTATAACTATCACAGCCAACATGCATAATCAAAACACATATAAATGACAATGTAAGCAACAAGGGTGCAGAGGGACAGTGACCACATTGATGCAACCAATACATAACCAAACAAAATAGACAGAGATAAATGCATGAGATAAATTCATGCCCACATAAAATCTATAGATAATAAAAAGAGAAGAAAAAAATCACATTCTTTAACCCATCTCTCAGCATTTACAATAATTTTACAGAGATTATGTCTTGTTTGAGAAATACATAGAATTCATTTAAGTAAAAAAAAAAATCTATTTGACTTTTAGTACCTCTGTCAAGCATGCATTTAGTTTGTTTGGCTTTTTGTCCAAAGTGGATTTATTGCCAGAAAACATAGAGGACTGTTAACTCTATAAGACAAAAAATTCTGTTTATCCAAAGAAGTGAACTCAATACTGGATATAAGTGACAGTAACACCTTGCCCCCTCACAAGCTGTCACCTGCTCATAGATTTCAACACATTCTTAAAAAAATCTTACATCAACAGGCAAGCAGACAGCTCAGGCCTTAGACCCATATAGTCTTAATCAGTCATTAGAGAAATCAAAAAAACAGAGTACCAGTTCATTATTCCACCTAGGTCAGAATGATCTTGTTGCCTGTGGTCAAATCATAGTCTACATGGCAAAAAAAAAAATCATAGGTCTATTCAGTCTGACTGTCTAAAGATCCAACTACACTTTGTGGAGACTGAAGAGCATTAAAAGCAAAACAATACCACAGATGTTCTTCCATGTAGGCACAGGTTGTTTTTTTGTTTTGTTTTGTTTTGTTTTTTTTTTTTTTTTGGGGATTTTTGTTTATTTTTGGTTGGTTGGTTTGGTTTTTTTAATGGAGTCAATCCACAAGGAAGCCACATAGATTTTTGGTGCGTTATACATTGATTCTAAGTTTTCTCTTTCAGAGTGGAAAAAGTAGAGGACAAAGATGGGAGCACAGGCAGCAGCTCCGGAATCCCCTGCCTATGATGGTTAAATATTTCTATTACACACAACAATAGGAACAACAAAACACAAAACCTTTAACCTCATTGCTCAAAACATAGTTATTTAAGAAGTGCATACTTACCCGCTTAACCTGTTCTTAAAAAGTTCTAACATCACAGCTGATACTGAAGAAAGATTGGTAGTTCTCCTTTCCCCATTGTCTTCTTTTACATTTACAAACCAATAAATTAGAACTGACACGTGCAGATGCCATTTCCTGTGCTTCCTAAGAATTTTAACATTTTAAATCTTTGCTGTTTCACAGCCTATGAATGACTCAAGATAGCAATTATCCTCCCTTTTGAGATAGTCAGAATTTTCTCTCCACTTTTGAAACCACTTTACTACATAAAGCTGTAAAATCCCATTTTCCTTAAACAAAATTCAAAAGAAAGGAGGAAGGAGTAGAAAGAAAAGGATGCACTTCACCATGCATCATTTTTAACATTTGTTCTATCAAAGTAATTTCTCTATAACAAATAAGTACTTTTCTTACTTCCCTGCACCTCATTTTCTTTGTAACTGAAAGAAAAGCTCATATTTGTTCCATAAATCCAGCAGCACTATGCGACTAGAATACAAAAGCAAGGAAAAGGAAAGATGTCAAACCATCATGGAGCAAATTAATGCTCCATTCTTCGATGGACAACCTTTGATTCCAGAAAGAAAGTGAAGTATGACCAGATTTGAATTTTCTCTACTGAGCAGATGAAGGGTGAAATCCTTTTTGACATTATCCTGCTGTGAGATTTTAAGCATGAGATTAGATTTGCTGTTTTCCACATATTGCTTAGTATGCAAAATGTGCTTCTGATTATCCAGCCTGTATGTGTCATTTATGCTTTTCATGCACCAGTGAATTCCAAAGGTTAACTATACTATTTCATGGAAAGTAGCAAAAGATTATGATTTTACTGTGGGATTTGGAAAGAAGATTAAATTAGGACCGAAAAAAAAGTCCCAAAACATCTGGAATAGTGTCAGCTAGTTTAATAATAATCAGTCTCCTTTGTGAGAAGCTGTTAGTGGAACAGGTGGGGTAGAAGCAAGATCTCTAAAGCACATAGAACACTACTTTATTGAAGAAATAAAATGTTCTTTAGCCACTGCTGTTAGGGGTTTTTTTTTGCTGGGCACAGGATGGGGTAAAAATATTTAGAACATGCAGCTGAATTTCAGATAGCTCTAGTGCTCATGGTAAGCAATATAGGAATGTCCAATTAAAACAAAGGAAAACACATGAGAAGATGGGGCAAATTAATAAAGAGATTAAAAAATGCCTCAAAGGCAGGAAGTACTCATCAATATTGAGGGCATACTCTTTAAACTACACAAAAGATTGCACATCTGATTAACTTTTTCATAGACAAGTGAGGAAAAAAAAAAAAAGCCACTGAATCAGTCTAGATTTTTGTGGATGAAATAAATTGATCCATTTATCTAGTAGCAAGACCAGGAATGAGGAATTCAGCAAGAAGGACCCATTTTAAAAGTCAAGAAGTGAGAAAAAGCTGAGCTGAAGTTTAAATTGTTTACTTCAAAGAAGAGAAATGAGGTAACCTGGTACAACTTCTTCTATCTACCAACTCTTCATATATAGCATAGCACAGACATCTCTCTCAAACTGTATGTTTGATGTAGAATAGCCTATATTGCTCAAACTCAGGAGTGAAAAGTTTCCAACCACCCTTCATAGGCTGTTGAGATACAGACTGGAGACAACTATGTCCTGACAGAAGACTTTTCTTCAGTTTCTATTGCTTTGCTCATGTTCAAAAGCCTCCACCCACAATTTCAAAGTGGTTTGCAAGACATAGATGAATTTCATACTTTTAGCACAAATACAAGAACACCTGGAGGAAGAATTTTATGGGTGGGAAAAGCAAGGCCAAAAGTAGGTGGCAGACTCGCCTTTAAGCTTCCACTAGAAGAGGCCATCCCATTTGAAGTCCTTTCTGAGAACTCATTTTGTCTCTTCAGTGTGTTTAACACCCTAATGCAACACTGACACAAGGACTATTTAAGTATTAAACGCTTCCCTACTTTTGGTAGCTTTTCTCAGACCCTCTCACCACCAGGCGGTGTTTAGGGGAAAGGCCCCTTGTTACCTCAGAGATAATGATGAAAGCTGCAGTGAGCACAAGAGATCAAGAAACTCTGAAAAATGGACAAGTATATGGTATCAGGTCATTGTCCCCAAGAGTTTTTCTCCTCAGAGCTGTGTGTAGCACACAGGCAGTAAGGTGGTTTTCTGGTTTTGTAACATCCCTTCCAGGAAAATACAAGTTGCCACTACAGATCTGACCAGCCTGTCAAGATCTGTGAAGAGCTGCCTATTGTTCCTGAAAAATGAGGATGTAGCAACTGCAAAAGACCAATGAAAATAAACCAAATTACCAAATGAAAAAAAAATAGTGTGAGATATGTTCATAAACTCATTTGACGTTTCACACTCTTAGGTTCTCTTCTTCCAGATAATCCCCCTCAAAATTCTTTACCAAAAGCAATGATACTACAGGATACATTGAAATACAAAACATGTCAGTGTGGTAGCTATCATCTTGTCAAACACACAGGGGACTGAATGGTAGATTTCAAAAGCTGGAACCACGAGCTTCTACAGCATACATGGAAGCTGCATTATGCAAAAGGGAGCTATATGTCACCTCACAAAAACAATGAAGAGGTTATTTAGTTGTGCTAGCCTAAACAAATCCCACCATATATAATTTAAAAAATTATAGCAATAGAACCACTACGACATTGGTGGTTAAGTAATTCTTGCTTTAAGTCTTGAACTGGGTTTTTTTAGCACTACTATACACTGTTATACACCAGCCAATTTGAGTCCCAAGGATGCATGCATCTCAAGAGTGACTCGTGTATATGACTAAGAATGTTTTGGGAGGTTACAAAGAAAAATATGTCCTATAAATACAAATTATTGAAAGTGCTTCCTGTTCAAGTAGAAGCCTTACTCATCACTGGAACACAGATAATTCTGTGGTAAGTGTGTGCTTCGGTGCACAGGGAGGCTGAATCACGCTTAAGCACATGAGAGGAACAATGTGCTCGAGGAAGTTCAATGGCTTGCTCAAATTGAATAAAAGGAGGTAAGACAAGACAATGAGGAATATTATTTTCCTATTGAAACTTGTGAATCTTAATTGGTGGTATGACACAGAGTACTGAAATACAAGAACAAAGATAAAAAACAAACAGGATGTAACAATGTCACCCCTTTGCAGTGGTACTGGTGCATCTTAGCCAGGACAGTACTCTCTGCTGAACACATCTCATATTCTACTGTTCTTAAGGCCTTTATCTTCTAAATATTCTTTGATTTTGTCTTGAGATGCAACTGACAGTTTCTAGGAAAACAGCTGCCACATTGTAATCTCTGCCTCTGAAAGCAAGGCCTCAACAAAAGACAAGCATTAGCAGAAATCTCTCTTACAAGATCTTTGAAAGACAAGATTCATACGTGGGAATGGAATAACATTTCTTTAAACAAGTATGTTCCCATCATGTATGTGGTCCCTCTGCCCTTCATGATGAAATACAGAGATGTCCAGCAAATCAACACACAGCATGACTATTCAGACAAAAAGCCTGCAATTGTTTATTAAAAACATATTTAAACATCATGAGACAGCAAGGACTATTTGGGACTTCTGTCCTCAAAAACATTAAGACTGCACCCAAAGTTACTACAAAGATGGAAACAAACTAGGGAGATGTAAATAAGGACTGAAAACCTTAGAGAATGGGAGATAGGTGTGACTTTCA